AACATTTTGAACAACCGACTCTTCTGACAAAAATATAACTGAATATGTTTCGCGGGTCATTAATTATTGTTTATTTATAAAGAAATCGACTATATAGATTTATCGGCCGAAAGATCCTACGATAAAGACGTGTTCACACTGTGTAATTCATTTTTAAAGAAAAGTGGACTTACACCGATTGGCTTCTGAACTATCTGCATATATCTATTGAATGGCAATCTTTATTTTAATGTTGAAACGTAGTTACTAGAACGGTAGAGTTTTATTTCGGACTTAAAAGACTTGATTAATATCTATATTTAGTAGGTCACGTTTGAAATCTATGTAACGCGCCTGATCGTAGGGCAAACGGTAAACATTGGTAAGCAAAGACAAGTGATAAGGAAACAGATAAAACCTTCTGCTAATAAACGCGTACTCTTTTATCGAATATTATATCCTAACGTAAACACGTGTGTTTCTACACTATGTTACGGGGGAATTGATAGTACGTACTAAACTGTGGTCTTAGAAGCTAGCCGATTCCGCGAATGTGTTTAGTAAAGTTGTAGGAAGCACTGCAATATGGGGTTATTAATAATGTTGTGGTGCTTAAAGTACATCGTTATCAGACATTACAGCACAAATTGTTAGTTCCATTTAGATCAGTTCTGAGTTTTAATATATGCAAGTGCCTGCGTGTTTCAGATGACACAAATAACGATCTCAAATTTATTGATAATGTTGAATAAATGAGAACCGGTCTTCCTACTGGGAAGATAAGACGTCGCCTTAATGATCCAGTTCTCTTAGGATCAATTGACGCTCTTCGGGCTTCATTAAATCGTCTGTCGTTGTCTGTTGTTGTTTGTCGCTGCTTATTGTTTCAAGCACATTTTGTAAAATACTGGAGTCCAATCGTTATTTATTGATGCATGACAACAGATAATAATTTCATAATTAACATAATAGCATAATTAATCCTATGCTCAGCTCTTTGTTACCTTAAATTATGCTGAATTGTTTTCATCTTTAGTTATGCTGAAATGCAGCGATAAAAAGTTTTGATAAATATTTTTTAAAATATTAGGTTGTGTAATACAAAATATCGGGTTGCTTGCCTCCCACAAATTCCAAGGAATTTTGCTGAAAGCGGAATTTTTCATCGAAACCCAAAAAAATCAAATAGTTTCCCAAAATGTGTTCTACCGAATGGTGCACATTTTTTATCGATCTAATCGTTTAATTAAAAATGAAACGATTTAACCTTCCTCTTCGAACAACCCGACATTTCAATTACACGATCTAATAAAATTACGTCCTGAAAATGTTCCATTTTTGAGTAATCAAATGACAGGGTGCTGTTAAAAGAATTTTCCCTCTTCACCGTCGAGCGCAGAATTTCAATAATTACGAACTGCAAGCAGGAGGACCTCGTCGTCTAAGTTAACGTCGCAATTACTCCAACTAACGGCGTGTATCAGTTAATTTAATCTGCATCAATTAATTATAGAATTACTTTATCGTTTCCGGTAATTCAAGATAATTTGGAGAGCGAACGTGCGAGAATCGATTCTATATGTTTCATTTCAGGCTCCGCGAAGAAGCGTAAATCGACGTGGAAGAAGTGGGGTCGGGAAAATGGACGACGATGTGCACCAGGTACGGTTTATCGATAGCAGCTGGTTCTCTTTACGTTTTCCCGACAAACAACGTAGTAAATCCGTGATACAGGTCCGTGGAACCGGATGCAAATTGGCTAATGCTTGCCTTTGCCGTGGAGACCACGGAGATTGAACCTATTCGAATGCAAGACTCTCTTAAATTGGTCCGGCCGTTGATTAAGAAATTTCGGATAGATTCGTTTAAGTTTGAAAACAGACGTTTCGCCGTTATCGCATGGAAAGTATGTTGAAAAGTCTCAAAAATGTTGCAGGCGATTTGTGCGAGCACTCGCTATACCAAAATACCGGGATTTTTAAAAAATCTCTCTATTCGTAAAGCCGATTACGTTAAGCGATGGAATTGATTGGTATCTTTGTTTGTTTTTTATAAGTTTTGATTGTACACGCGATATTGGAAAATAAGCGAAGAAAAAACGCATTTACGTTACGTCGTGCTTTATAAACTTCAATAGAGTAGGACAATTGCAACTGTCGTAAAAAATGGCAGAATGTCTAGGTTCGTAGGAAACGTGCACCAGCAATTCGAATTGTTAAAAAGCGATTTGCGAAATTTCGATGTAGCGATTAATAAACTTGGCAACAAGCCGCGGCGATATTGAGCGCATAATTTATTGGAAAATGATCTACGAATTTAAATAGAGGAAATTGCTCAGAAACTTTACGCGGACAGATCGACGATACTTTGCCATTTAAAAACAATTGGGTATAAATTTGAAGTCGATACAGGTCATATTTGTTAACTGAAGCAGATTTTAGTAAATACATTAAATTATTCTGTTTGCTGTTACCACTGTTTTGTGTGTCGTCTGCCGATTTATGTCATAAACGCATATCTTTGACAGTGTTCGCTGAAAATAAACTTGAGAAAATTACAAACCAACGCGCAGAGAGACATAACTGAAGTTCTGTTCGGCAATTTTGTCGCGGAGAACTGTACTGACCAAATGATAAATTCCGGCAAATGTTGGAAAATTTAAAGACAATCTGAGGAGAAACGTCCAATTACGTCTACCAGCATGACAATGCAAAACCGCACCGTACAAAACAGACAATAGAGAAACTGAAGCAGCTGATGTCTTATTGCGCCCAATCTATTCTCCCGACATTGCACCGTCAGACTATCGCTTAGTTTGACCACTGCAAAATGGTTTGAGTGGCAAAAAATTCACAAGATGTTACCTAGACGTTAACAAATGACTGTAGAAAGTAACGGTGGCCGTGTAATTGATTAGGCGAGTTTTAATGAGAAATTTGGCACGGGCTATTGCACTCACCAATTAGGATAATGGAACCGAGATACTGTGTGCGTTTTATAATATAATTAACTTTATATTCATCAAATAAAACGTATTAAAGTTTTTTTTTATTGAAAAATGAACAAAATCATTATCAATATCTCATTCGATAAATATTAATTTAATTCTCTCCACTACGCTATTTGACAGTTATTCAAAGCTCAGGGGTGCTCTCCCAACAAATGACCCATAAGTAGGTTATTTTTGAGAATTTGTTACAGAGAAACTAAACGATATAGAACTAAAATTCTTTTTAGCAGCGCTTTTTTGTTACGTAGATCGTAGAATCACAATTATTGACAAATGTTTTCTAGATACATGATGCTTATTGCAGATAGCGTTGACTGAAATTATGGGCCGTTGATAAAAAAAAGATAGCAGAACTTATTTCAGTCGGAGTTAAGAGAAGACAGAGTTAATTATACGCGTGTTATAATGAAGCCATTTTACGAGGTAATTGCGAGACTTGAAAATGAGACGATGAGAAGTCCGAACAAATTATTCCCGAGTCGCGCGCGAGACCGAAAATAAGAAACAAGACAGTTTCATAATAAAGAGAAATCATAATCCATAATCCAAAGGATAAGCGGTGCCTGTGTATATTTATAATCAGTAAGGAAATTTAATTTTTATTTTAAAATGAATCGACTATAGATTTTATCCGTTCATAGGACGTGCAACTCCGAAAAATATTAAAAAGTAAACCACAACGATATTACAATCTTTTAAAACTGTTGACAATGAATATAATTATTCATGTGATTGATCATTAATATTATGCCTGCTTCGCTAGTTGATATTTGATACTTCGAAAGCTGCAGCATGTAATCATAAATTATTAGTGATTACATATCGTATCGGCAAATTGAATTTACTGTGCTATTTTACTTCAGTTACTTATATCTCCGGTATTGTTGGTAATGAATTAATTACTGCTGTTACAGATAGTAAGCTTGATATTAAATTTCCATAATAGTATCAGGAGTTTCCTGTTTCGAAGTTGAGGGTTATGTTCTGTCATATATTTGCACTGCATGCAAAGAGAAATGTTCGATCTTCTTTCATAGATGCTAACGCAAACTTTTACGTTGTTTTGAATTAGAATATTATATTCGATGTGTTTGTTTTTTTTCCAATAGTCCGAGGAGATGTCCCAAGTACTTTAGTCGCGTGAGCCTGAAATTTTCGTTGAAAAATTTTTCTTTTAAAGTGATCAAATGTTAATGGCAGTCGCTGTAGAAATATAGCAATGTTCCAAGCCAGCAATGTTCCACTATAGAAGAAACGAGCCAACGGCGATTGGTGAATTTCACTCCTTGCATTTTTCATAGATATCCATTCTTTTTCGGTCGATCGGCAACGATGTGCAATTGGATTTGTGGGTAGAATTCTCGCGGAATCGAATCGAACGTTTGTTGGAATCGCTCATGTCGAATCGTCTCTCTTTCTACATCTGTGGTGGGGCGTCTGCGTTTGATCCATAGCTTAATCGAGATTAATGTAAATCGAGATCAGTGACTTCGGCGAACTGTGCATGTCTACACGAACTTCTGTCCCGAACGTTAATTAATCTTATTCTCTGTTGACTGGGACAGGATAAGGGATCGTGGAATGACAGTGTTTAGATCTAAGGAGATACAGAGGCTCCATTTGACTTCGGTTGGGTATCTTGATTCAACGTGTCCTAATTTGCGGGTGCCAATGAAGAATAAACGATGATTTAAACACTTTTACAGCAAGTTAGGTAAGATAGTACGTATCGAGCTTCTAATTACTGTTTAAGCTTTGAAATTGAGCTATAAAAATATTTAAAAATGAGATAATTTTGGCGATTTATTATATTACTATGTCATTATATAATTGATGAACGCAAAAATAAAAGTTTCGCAATTTGTTTCTTCGCGTCGAGTGAGAAAAATCATTTTGGTCAGCGGAATCGAACAAATATTATACCTCACTGTGCGACGGATACAGTATTCCAGAGGTTAACAATGAGACACGAAAGAATAGCGGGATTTAATAGCAATTACGTTCGACGTACCTCATGATGAATTCTCTCTGTTGCAGGAAAGTGTTTTTCCAATGATCCCTCTCGATGATGGCATTCATTAGTCTCGAACTCAATTCTGTTGTCGTTTGTAGAGCGTCGCTATTAAGCTTCCGGAGCTCTAAAAGAATCAGCCTGGCATTAGTTTCTTTAAATTTCACTTTCTTCTACCGTGGGACGCGCCATTACTCGACCACCGCATTTTTACATCCTACGTTTTTTATTCTACCACGCGAATCTCAATGTAAATTGCGTTTCAAGAAGTTTCGAGCACGCTCCTAGATCGAACTTCTACCCCGTCTGGATCCCCTTTCCCACTTTTTTAATCGAACTTCGAAAAAGGAGTCCATATTTCCGCGCGTAAAGTCAAAAAGTTTATGGCACCTCGAGGATCCCGCTTTTTAACGACCTTTAACTTTTCGACATCTTATATTCTAGAAATCTGGCATTTCAAGTTCGAGTATTGAAATGAGATGGTTTCCCATTGGTTGAAGAAATACATATACGCCCCGGTGATAGTGGTCAGGAAAATTGAGCGTATATGTACGCTTATGGTGCAAATGGGTTAAGGTAACTGAGCCAGGTTTCGCAGACACCATTTTGACCGACAAGAGTTCATCGGAATCAGATTTGGACAACGCGAGTACTCATCGGTAGCAATATCAATCGGTAGTAATGTCCCCTCTGTGATTTGACTTTCGCCATGGGAAGATCAAAGCGGTTGTACATACACAGTGGCGCGCGTGCAATATTGGCATTTCTTGTTCATTGTCAGTTGACTGTCGCGCGCTGTCCTCGCCAATTCTTACAATTAAAACTGGCTCCCTGGTTTCACCGTTTATTACTCTATGGCATCATCTGCCAGCGTGCGGCGTACGCCCCATCGAACGACAATTTTGAATATTTTCAGCGACAATTTTGAGTATTTTGATCAGCATTTTTTGAATATTTTGAAGAAAATTAGAAAATAATTATGGAAAATATTGGGTTAGCAGCGTTCTGACCAGCATTCTCGAAGAATGCCTCGTTCAATCGCGTTAAAAAATTCATAATGTACGCACATCTTTTATTAATTTTCCAAGTAATCCGATTCAGATAATTTGAAGACGCATCGTGTAAGCGCGCACACCTGTTCAACGTTAACAAGTAGAGTGGAACTTCTATAAGGTATCTCACGCTCGAGCATTCCAACTCGATGCAAATTCTCTGAAGCGGTTTACATATTATTTACCGTCATCTAACGAGGAAAAATGTCAGCGGATCAGAGATAGAGAGAATGTTCGATCTCGTGTATTTCCTTTTCTATATTTAACCGATGTGAAGAACCGATCGTCATAATGTTCCCGTTGTTTCATGCAATTATCCATGAAAGTGGCTACTTATCAAATTTACATTTATGTATCGCCCGTATCGTATTACTGTTAACTCGTGGAGAAATAAATCTCCGATTAGCATTTTCATTCCTCCAGAAGAAGATTCTGCATACATGTTTAATGCATGCAAGTTAAAATTCTATCCATTATAGTTAGAGATCATGGTTTCGAACGTGTACTGTACATACACGCGTACTTGTGTGCACGTATATTCAATATACACGTATTTAAATCTGTGTAATTTTAGTACACGTATATACGTGTATTGCAGTACACGTGTACACATGTATAAAAATTCGTGTATTTATTTATTTCAAAACAACGTAAACATGTATATCAATATACGTGTCGGACGCATGCCGCGAGAGTCAGCGTTGTCTTTAGTATGACAATTTCCGAGCGAACTGGAAGACAAATTTTCATTAGAATTTACCTTGACTTTCGTTTCTAAAACGTTCTAATACAGCTTCTCGCCTAGCCTGTAGCTGCAAGTTAGTTTTAAAAGCGTGTTCGAGCTGAATGAATTTAGCCCCGACTTCATGGAGAGTCCTATGCAGTTCAGAGACTTCCGATTCCTTTCTGTGCAATTGCTCCTCGAGATACTGTGGCCGCGTCTCCATCCTTCCTGTAATTGCATTAATTAAGTCACTGATATCAAGCTTGAGAACGTACCCTGAACTGTTAACCGGAAGAAGCAATCTCGGTTGTTCGAAAAAGGAAAGTTTCCCCATTTCTTTCGCTGGAAACTGAATGATATCGACGCGGTATACCCAGCCATTTCAGACTTTCCAACTCGACCGCGTAAACTGGGCTACGCTTTACGGGTTTTAGCGCTCCTTTGCGAGCTACGGAACTTTTCTCTATTTAACCATAATCGTCGAATGAAGTTTCCTTTGGAACCGATCGCGCGGAAGTTATCGTTCGGATGCGTATCATTGACACAAAAGGTGTTGCTGCGATTGACATGGTTACAAAGACAGTCGACACTCTTTGAACGACGAACGATGCTTATCATGTAATGGATGATGTCCGTAGCTAGTCGAAAACTGGGCAATTTGATTTTCTCTTTTTTAACGGTGAAAATGTTAGAGGACAAAGGAACTGGTACGTAATTGCTGGTACGTACGTAGTCAAATATAGGGTGTCTCCAGATTCCTGTTGCATCAGCAATGGGCCGAGTCCTAAGGTGATTCGAAGTAACATTTTTATTAGCGAAAAAGTTGGCTACAGCTTCGTTAACGAGTTAGTAACGAAAAACACGGACCAATCAGAGAGCGAGTACGGCTGGCGTCCTGCCCAGCCGTCGAGATTGTTTTCACGCGGAACGACCCAGCTGTACACGCTCTCTCATTGGTCCGTGTTTATTTTTTTGATAATAATTCGTTAACAAAGCAGTGTTTGAAACTTTTTCGCTAAGGGAAAGGTTACTTCAAATCGCCCGAAGAATCACCTCTTTACTGTGATGTAAAATTCAAGTGACTTGTAATCGCATTAAAAAAGATAAAGGAAATTAAAATTGACAGTTTGAAAAAGTGGTATTTAGTACAGAACACTGGGATGATCTGTAACTTGAATGGAAGAAATTTTACTTTTGTTAGTAAAGATGAATATGGAAATAGTAAGAATCGATTAAGGAAAAAATACTTTATCAACAGCCTTGTCCTTGTCATACTTGGAAGGTATCAATTTCGTCCGTATCAGTTTGTACAAAATTTAATATACGGAACATTAGACACTGAATACAAGTCTAAAATCGGACATCCATTCTCTCGAGAATCGACTTCACAGTACAGACTCAACCGTTGTTCGAGATTCAAGACAGTTCGAGTAATTTAATAACCACCTAACTTCATCGTTAAATTGACTGGCTGCTGTCTCGCAGGCTGAGGCATTACAGACATCCAGAAACGATAAGAAAAGTTTTTCATGAACAATATGATACTGCATTTCGTTAGGCCACTATTATATTATAATTTGAGAATAAATATATTCTGGATAAAAATTAACGATTCGAAATATCAGCAAAGACGGAAACATTTTTAGTATTAGGTTTGAATAGATGGTTTCGAGAAAACCATGTTCGATGATTCAATTATGATTTATAATCACAAAATTATTAGTTCACACATATAAACATTTGATCGAATTTTAATGCTCAACAGACTGAGAACAGTACCTCTCTTCTGATACGAGAAACACACACATACGCGCGTCCTTGTTACTTCACGAAAATCAATGATTCTTGATTTTCCGATTGACATGACATTACGACCTTTGGTACGGTTATAAACACCGATATGAGCTCAATTCCATCTCGAATTTAGGTGCAGACGATCGACCAAACTAATCGACGTGGGTAATCGATTAGAATGAGGCAAACACGAGCTCGATGGCCAACATTGATCCGAATGTAAACACCTCCAATCGAATGGTTCTAATCTCATCGTTTATACTAATTAATACAAGAATATATGTCTATTAATTGCTTTCTTAAATTTTAATTTCATTCTTGTTGGATGGAATGAATTTGTTCTCGCGTTGTTAAACTTCTTGTAAACTGAATCCGACGATGTCAAAGCAATACACAATGCCGCGGGAAAGTATTGGCGCGCTTTTTAACCGGAAATTATTCCGTTTCAAACAATATGCCAAAACGTTTTCACAGCACTCTATGTAGATTTAACACGAAGTTAATTTTTAAAAAAGAAAATAATTTCCTATTGGGTTTTAATTACGAAACGTATGGACAGAAATCAAAAACTCGTAAACTGTTAAAAGATCCTGATCAGATCGTAATTTCAATAAACTTCCTCTAAGTCCTTTAAAATTTCATCGTCTCTTTCCATTATCCCGATTCTATGTTCAGATAAATCATAGGGGTGCACTGTTTATTATGAATGTTTCTTTGTATTGAAATTAAATTAGCGTGCAACGAGAATGAACTTGCAACGCGGACATTAAAAAAATGTTTATAAGATCAGCCGTAAACATTACGAACACGAATACTCATTATCGGAATATTCTTCGCGAGCGAGATGGAGCGCAACCGGAAATGATCTGCTCTGTTTCATGCTAACGACTTCTCCATTCCCATTTTTCTGCATCACGATACCACCGTCGCCGTCGACGTTCTCGGGCTTGTTTCCGTTGTGAAATATGCGACCGCGTTATGCGCAGTCAGTCACCGCAGAAAAAAAGAACAGCACTCCGATACATTGTCATTACACCTGAAATGTTAATTCTTCTCGCGGCCCTCCCTTGAAATTTCCAGCATTCGACATTTCTTTACTTTGCTAGGAATCTTTGCGAATCGATGTAAATCGAGCTTTCAGTTGCATAGGTTTCGACGCTGGAGACTTTCGCTTCCATTCCGGTTCCCTTTGTTCCTATAATGGTCTCGACACATACTGTTAGGATATCCTGTATATTCGGTATCTGTCACAACCATTGCGAGCAAATTACTGCTCTGAAAAATACAGAAATTCGACGTATTAGTATTTCACCAAAAAATCGGAAAGAACTTACGTCCAAACCTAATATTTTATGTTACTTGGCAGGCAAGGATAACAAGACAAGATTTTGTCGAACATCGCCTGGTTTTTGTCATAATATATCGTGTTGTAATTTAATAGTTGCAAAGACAACTACTAAGGTAATGGGGTTTTCGGGTATAATTAACTTCCCATTTATCCAATGAGACATATCACATTTTTTGTTCTCTTCTAGTTTGTTTATATTTTAATAAAAGAATTCGGTCCGACCCGAACCCTATTGCTAATTGTACGAAAATACTTCTACTCTAAAATACTTGCTGCATTTTAGATCACGTAGACCACACAATTTGCAGTTACCGGTGCTCATTTATGTTCATAAATCCTCGTCGTTAGATTTCCTTTCAGATGCACGCTCTTCAAAATTACTTAAAGCCGACGTCAGTACGTGTGCAAACTGCTTGAAGCTATTCGAGTTTAAAAGTAAACGTTTGAGCTTCTTTAAACCGTGCGCCCACACAAGAGGCAGAAATAACAGTTTGTTTTCTGATAAATCGAACTCTTCGAACCGAGGAAGTTTGTCAGGATATGTTTTACCAATATCAGTTATGTTATTGCCTCGAAGATTTGATAACAACAGAAAGTCCTGCCCCGACCTCCGTAGCAATAATTTCCACTGGCGTGCATACGACGAGTTGAAGTTTAAATGAATCCGTGAGAACCGGTCGATCGCGAAAGCCTGCAGTTTTCTTGTCCATACTAAAATCGGTATGTTCGTGATGCTTATCCGGTACCAGCAAAAGTTTTCTCGCGCGTAAATTTATCAGAGGTAATAGTCTGGACGTGATACCGGTACTTTCATTCGATATTCCTGCTCGATCTTACTATCAATCTTTTTAATGCGACGTCAGCTGTGCCGTTTATATCGCAAATTCGTATGAATCGTCGTGGCTGCAGGTGTGAAAATCGATAACGATAATTGGACAAATATATCATTGCGCTTCGATTGCTGGCATTACACGGAGGACCAAGTTGTTGCTCCTTTCTCGAGTTCCCGTGTATGTATCGATAACTGCGCAGCAACGAATGCAACCATTTTTCTCAAGCGTCTCGATCCGAAAATGATAAAGAAATGATGGGATTCTTCGTAAAACCAACGAAGACGTTACGTTCAGATTAGAACACCTCGATGAATCGACTGCTTCGCAGTGTCTTTTAATATTCAAACGATTATAATTATACAAGGTGTCCCAACAATGTTTCGCAATCCGGAAATGGCGGGTTCCTCGGATCATTTGAAGCAACTTCTTCCTTGACAAAATTTTTCTCCAAGGCACCGTTAACGAGTTATTGACGAAAAACAGTGACCAATAAGAATCGAGTACGGCTGACGCGAGGCGGCCCAGCCANGCAACCGGAAATGATCTGCTCTGTTTCATGCTAACGACTTCTCCATTCCCATTTTTCTGCATCACGATACCACCGTCGCCGTCGACGTTCTCGGGCTTGTTTCCGTTGTGAAATATGCGACCGCGTTATGCGCAGTCAGTCACCGCAGAAAAAAAGAACAGCACTCCGATACATTGTCATTACACCTGAAATGTTAATTCTTCTCGCGGCCCTCCCTTGAAATTTCCAGCATTCGACATTTCTTTACTTTGCTAGGAATCTTTGCGAATCGATGTAAATCGAGCTTTCAGTTGCATAGGTTTCGACGCTGGAGACTTTCGCTTCCATTCCGGTTCCCTTTGTTCCTATAATGGTCTCGACACATACTGTTAGGATATCCTGTATATTCGGTATCTGTCACAACCATTGCGAGCAAATTACTGCTCTGAAAAATACAGAAATTCGACGTATTAGTATTTCACCAAAAAATCGGAAAGAACTTACGTCCAAACCTAATATTTTATGTTACTTGGCAGGCAAGGATAACAAGACAAGATTTTGTCGAACATCGCCTGGTTTTTGTCATAATATATCGTGTTGTAATTTAATAGTTGCAAAGACAACTACTAAGGTAATGGGGTTTTCGGGTATAATTAACTTCCCATTTATCCAATGAGACATATCACATTTTTTGTTCTCTTCTAGTTTGTTTATATTTTAATAAAAGAATTCGGTCCGAC